TTTTTGTTGTTGGGTCTCTCGCTTATGTCTTCGTCACTTTCACTATCAACAAAGAGTTCGTTATCAGTTTATTCAACTAGGAGTATATCTAAGTCGTAACTATTAAGATTGTCATCCCACGAAATAAAATCGGAATTTTCCATATTGCGTGCACATGAATGACGCTTTATTCAAATGAGAAATTAATTGTAATTTTCTTAAATATTAATTCCAAATACACACTTCGAACATGAAGAAACCATAAATTTACCGACAATCATTTAAAAAAACAACTCAATGCAAGCCTATGATGAAACTGTCAAACAACACTTAGAAATCAAACATTTACCGACAATCCTACAGAAAAAACTCAATGGAAGCCCAATTAATGATGAATATAAAAATAAATAAAATTTTAATAATCTATAAATATCAAGAATAAAAAACAAAGCCTATCACGATTAACAATTAATTAACATATAAATTAAGTTTTTTTTCCACATAAATTAATTTTACATTTTGTGAATTGTAGATCTATTGTTGGAAAGAGTGTGGACACCTGTGGTGTAACAACTTCTTGTTTACAAGGTGTCAATTAAAACTCATTATTGATAACATGTTCGTGATTTACCTGGTCATCGAATAATTCAAACCTAATATACATGTCACACTGTGAAATTATGTCTCCGAGACAGGTGTATATTCAATAGAAACCCATTATGAAACTATCAGATAAAATGAACTCTGATACAATTTATGTTTTAGTGTTAATTATTTAATATCAGTTTTTTTTTTTTAATACAATATCAAATTATGTCTCTTTTTCAATAATACAAATCTAAAATCAAAATTACATTAAAATAAATAATTATATATGAACTCAAATTATTTAATTAATAATGATAAATTTAACACTGAAACAGTTGGTGTTATGCTTAAACATTCGTCTTTACTTCGGGTACTTTTATTAAAGACTTTATTACCTAAGGAGATCTCGCCAGGTTTAACTAGTGGCCGCGTGTTTTTACGGGATTTCGCGGAGTTGCGAATCGCTTGTATTATATGTCTCTGACGAAATATAGCAAATCATTTTAAGTGCAAAATAAATAATCTAAAGTAGAAGTTTTTTTTTAAACGAATTGGACATCACATGAGATAACAGTATCCTGAAAATTTTAAGGTTTTGCATCTATTGAAAAAAAAAAATGTAAACCTATTTCAACCGGCATCAAACAAGTTGATTTACGTTTTGAAAATTTCTAACATAAGCTTTATAGCGTTTCAGATAAATAATTCAGAACTATGTGGTTTACCAAGCGCCCATCATTTAGGAGTAACAGTGAAAACTGACCAACTCGCAGTAGGTCAAATAGTATGGTTAGGTTGAGTATGTATATATATTTTCTACTGAACTTGAAGCAATAAAATGGCTCAAAACACGTTGTGTTATCTCAAATTTGATTTCAAATTTTTCTGTTTTGCTCTATGACTTCTTACTTTCTGCAATCATGTCGGCAGATGAAATCATTGCTTGTACATTTTGAACGATCATCTTTAACCTTTTAATCAACTATTTCAGTTATTTATAAATGGTTGTCCTTCAAATATTTGGCTTTGAGCATTCCTGATAAAGGTAGATCCAGAAAAGCGCTTCGGACGCATGCAATTTTTGACGTTTTGTTTTCTATCGATTGCATGACGATCATATATTGCCTTATATCATTGATTTTAGTTCTAAGTATTGGTACAGTAGGAAAAATAAATTCAGTGAACGTTGTGCTAGCCTCGAATGTGGGTGGTTGTTGATATCTTTTTTACGCTTTTATTTGCATACCAAATACCATTGACTTAACATTAGCAGTTCATCTTAAACTGATCTAATCACAAACTAATACATGTAAACTAAGCAAAAGTTAAAAGTAAATAGACCATGACTGAGGGGGCGGGGCCAAATATTCTCCATGGAAATGAGATGTGCTAATGCTTATACAACTGAACACCAATTAACATTGGCCTACCACTAATGGTTCCCCTTCAAGGCCTTGAACTGACCTAATCACGAACTAATACATGTTAACTTAGCAAAATTTTCAAAGTCAATAGACCATGACTAAGGGGACAGAGCCAAATTATCTCCATGGAAAATGAGATAAGCCAATAGATAAAGGAAGATGTGGTATGAGTGCCAATGAGACAACTCTCTATCCAAGTTACAATTTATAAAAGTAAACCATTATAGGTCAAGGTACGGCCTTCAACACGGAGCATTGGCTCACACTGAACAGCAAGCTATAAAGGGCCCCAAAAAAATTACTAGTGTAAAACCATTCAAACTATGCTTATACAACTGCATACCAAATATCATTGACCTACCACTAGTGGTTCCCTATAAATTGACCTAATCACAAACTAATACATGTAAACTATGAAAAGTTTCAGTCAATAGACCATGACTGAGGGGGCGGAGCCAAATAATCTCCATGGTAATGAGATGTGGCAATGCTAATACAACTGCATACCAAATATCATTGACCTACCACTAGTGGTTCACCATGAACTAGACCTAATCACAAACTAATACATTGTTGACGTCGCCGCCGCCGTCGCCGAAACAGCATACCTATGTCTCGCTTTTTGACTCCGTCAAGGCGAGACAAAAAAGCAGCTATGATCAACATGATCATTGGTCATGATGGTGATGTAAATAAGATTGCACATGCTGAAATGTCATGTCTCAGCTTTACCTACATGTACATGAGTATAATTGAATTGTTGTTGAAATTCTGTAATATGAAGGTTTTACTAGCCTACAAATCACATACACTTTACATTATTAAAAACTACATTAAAATGAAGTCAGGTAAAATTAACCATGCCAGATAGATGATGTAAACCTTACAGTCATTCCATACCCAAAATTTAGTGGTTTATATACATAGTATCTGAGAAAAAAACCAAACATCCAAAGCATGAAAATTACATTGTCCAATGAACCTTGAAAATGAGGTCATAGTCAGATGAAACCGACCAATCAAACATGTACACCTTACAATCATTCCATATCATGCCAAAATAGTGATCCTATACATGTAGCTTATAGCATCTAAAGAAACATTGGAAAATAGATCAAACCACAAAAATTAAACATTGTTCAACAGTCAGGGGACTTACTTAAATGAGTGATTTTCTAAATCACTGATTCAAGTAACATTATGTACATAAAGGTTGGAAGTAAGAGTTGTCTTTCTTTAATAATCACCTATTTAAGTAGTACAAATTAATCACTAGACTAAGTGATTTAATTTTATTGTAGCTTTAAATATAGAATACTAATGATCCAGGAAATAATTATGTTGCTAAAATTATCAGAACCAACATCTGTGTTGATAGGATGACCAGTTCATGTCAGGTGATGACCTTGTACTAAATCTAGGATGATGACATAAAAATCACTTGTTCAAGTATCATACCTCAATTTCCTTCCAAAAAATCACTTCTTTAAGTATCATTATTTTAATAACCCCCACTAATTTCAACACCCCCGAACAGTGAAATTTTGATCGCGAACAGTAGAATTTTATTACATAATCTATAAGATGAAACCTTGAATTTTACAGGAAAAATACTCCCACTGCTGGGAAAAATCTGTTGAGAAAGTATCAGTTCATTATGTAAAGCCATTTTTATAGCATTTTTTCAAGTAAAATAGAATTTGCAGCTAAATGATTGCATCAAAGGCATAAACCTTGATGCTTAAAAGAGACAAAAAGTTCATTTTTTTCAATTTTACTAATGAAAAGATATTATCTAAAGCTATGTGTTTAAAATTTTGGTAAAACTACAAAATCACAATTTGTGACAAAACTTCGAATTTGCTACTTAAATAAGTCACTTATTTCAATAAGTCCCCTGACTGTTCAATGAACCCATGACCATGATGACAGGTCAATATCTGATGAACCCTACCAGTCAGACATAATACACTGTACAATTGTTCCATACATCAAATAAACATGAAGTTGATCTACTGGCATGACTGGAGTACTGCTTATATATATATATATAGTATCTGCGAAACAAACTTAACAATGTGACTATAAAATAACCTTAGTCACTTATCCATGAAATAAAGTCAAGGTCTGGTCAACCCAACCTGATAGACAAGTAGACCTTGCAAGATACTCATATACAAAAAATGTATCCAATTACTCATATAAGAGAGCATTTCACTGTTAAAAAAAACAGTATTTTTTTCATACAGTCACTGAACCATGAAAATGAGGTCAGGTGCAATGAACATGATGAACATATGAGTATAATGACAGACTGAAACTTCATAACATATAAGCTATCTGATCAATACAAGATAAGAAGCATCCAGATCTTTTAGCTTTTAAAATGTAAAGCTTAAAAAATAGTTTACATCATCACCCCCAGATTGTAATACCTATTTCTTGCATACCACCATGACCACCAACTTTTGTCGTAGGTGAGACAATAAAATGATACTTTGAAGTACATGTATTGTTTAATACGCTTGACCAGTATAAAATGCAAGTTTCAGTATGACCAATAATTTAGACTATTATCAATATACATGTATGTACATTCAGACTCTTATAAGTACAACAAGCAGTCATTTGACACTAACCAACAAGCATGCGAGGGCTGTGACACACCCTCATGGGTAGTCAAGGTTGTTTAACACCCCCTGGTGGTACATGTATATATACGTAGCTCACAATAGCAATGACAGCATTAACTTCAGATGTGATGTACTATAAATTTCACAGAAACCAGAAATTCTCATTATCCAAATTTTAAATGAATAATTATCCAAGGTATTCATGAATTCAGATATGATGCACTATAGAGACACCTAAAAATCCCTAGGGAAAACTGGTTGTGTCAGTCCTGCAATACAACATGTACAATTGAGGATGAAAAACATTAATTTTTCTTTTCTATTGCAGGAAAATGCTACCATTAGACCCTTTTTTCATTAAAAAATTAACAAAGGCTAAAAGTATAGAAAATTTTAATAGCCTCAATGAAAATGAAAAAATTAGAAATATTCTTTGCCCATCAACACAAAAACAGATAGAAAGCATAGGTTCCTTTATAAAAAAGTCATTGGCACTAAGGATAGGGGACTCATAATTGAATTTTGAACTATTTTCATTAGTTTGTTTAATATGATTATACATGCTTTTTTCTTGGCATTTAATGTATATAATTATTAATGTTGTTTTTGTCACAAATCGTATAAGTTGGTTTATATGGCAATACAAGTTTGATTTGATTTGACTATTACTAATCACTGAAACTATGAATTTTCATTATTCCAATTTGCTATTCTAAATGAATAACTATCCAGATATTCATGGAATTCAGATATGATGCACTATTAATATTCCCAGAAAACTATGAATTCTCTTTGTTCCAAATTGTTATTTCAAATGAATAATATATCAAAGGTATTCACTGTCATCAAGTAATGTAGTCTTTCTTACAAATTGTAAGTTTGCTATTTGTTCAATGCACAATTTTCTTCTTGTCCAATCTAATCCGAACATCCCATCAACATCATGGCATAATGCTGTAAGCCCTATTTGTTATTTACAAAAGCAATAAGTAAACACAAAATTATAGATTAATCCACTGTTTCACAATTAGCAGCTATGAGAGTTACTTAGTGACATCTATATATATTTCCTATATCATGTATATGCAGGCTTCATAATCTGGCTGGGAATGATGCTCAAACTAATGTGAATTCTACAAAAAAAAAATACATTAAGAATAAAGTACTGAAACTAATCTAATATTGTATATATTTACTTGTATTTATCTAGAAGAAAAACGGGGAGTCTAATTTGCTTGATAACAAAGTTCTATGACTAATACAACTGTATTTATGACTTATACAATTGAACTTATATATAAGTCTCATATAACAAGAAGAATAAAATCTTTCTTTGGGGTTCTATTTTTAAAAAGATATTGTCTCTCTTTCTACATTAATGTTTTCTTATGTGTGTACTTCACGTACTTCATTGAAGGGTTACTGTGTAATTGAGACTAGCACTTTACATTTGTTTTGATCAATTCTTTAAAAAGTCTGACATAGTTATTTCTCTCTAAAACACAACAGCTGATATTTCTTTTGATCATTTTATAAAATTACTACAAAGATAAGTTTAAAGAATGATTAATAAAAATAGAAGTAAATGCGTTTATATCTAAAAATTTCTTTATAATAATATATCATCCAGAATATACCTTCTTTCTAAAATAATTTCAGAAAGAAGGTATATTCTGGATGATATATTAGCACAAACTTGGTCAATTTGATTTCTCCAGTTAAGTGTGCTGTCAATTTTAACACCTAATAATTTTTCACATGAAGAATTATGTAATACTTTTGAATTTATTATCAAGTTTGGTTGATAAGTCTCAATTGATAGTTTCTGCTTTGTACCAGTAACCAAACATTTTGTTTTATTTGCATTAATGAACATGTTATTCCTTTTGCACCACTCTTCAACCCTGTATTAATCTTCTTGAACATCATCATGTATATTTTATATGTTTTTCATGTGGACGACCATTCATGCCAATTCCAAAACAAGATTAAAAGGAGATGTTGGGTATATTCCAAAGAGACAGCAGTCCCAAAACCAAGACAAGTAAAAAGGCATCAATGTATTTCGACTAACCATGCTAACAGGGCAAAATTTATGTAATAACTGACAAAGTTCACATGAAAATATAAAGTTTAGGCCACACTAATTTGATTAATAGTTCTTTGGATTGAATGATAATATAAGACAAATCTGTGTGCCATGTGCAGAGCGTCATCCCTCCACTATAACATGATAAAATATTTACAGTTATTTTATTCATCATGTTCATTGTAATTATTCATTTTGAGAAAAGATGAAACCTCCACAACACTTGTTCAATATGAATCCTTATAGGTACATGCCCGGGGGTACTGTACATGATGAAACAATACTCTCATTTTGTTTTATCAACTGTTTTTAAATGGCAACTGTTATGACTCTGTGTATTGTTTCACATGTTTCAGGAATATTAATTTAATAATATTTTGATGATTAATTTTATTTTGAACCATCTAATAGATATTCACTTTCAATGCTTTATTATATTATAAAATCTATTCATGTTTTGTTGTCCATGACTCAGGAATTATTTGAAAAATATACTGAACATGCATTTTTGCTAAATAAGTCAATAAAATTAATAATTTTCACAACATTTTATATACAAATATTTGATTTGTAGTAAAATTCAACTTGAATTATCTCAAATTCTATTAAATAATTTTATAAATAATAATTATTGTACATCGGCATCGTCCACAACAGGCACAAGGTAATTAAGTAAAACAAGGGACATACTTATAAACCAGCGTTAGCAAAGTTATTATATGAAAATGGACATGTAAAGATTTTTTGGTTGTTGGTAATAAAAAATCCAGTGACAAATTAATCATGCAAATTTAGGAAGAGACAGTTATCAATACATTTACCATGTTAACATTATCATACAATATGTATAGGTCCTGTAATAGGCCATCCTGCACAACCAAACCAATGCACCACATGTTAGGGTTTAACAGTAAGACAATGAACAGGGGTGGATCCAGCCATTTTTAAAAGGGGGAGGGTCCCGACCCAGGATAAAGGGGGTTCAAACTATATGTCCCCTTTCAAATGCATTGATCCTCCAAAAAAGGGGGGTCCAATCCCAGGAACCCCTAGCCCCGCCACTGGATGAAGACCAAGAGTAACCTTTTTTCTATTCCTTTGTCACCCTTGGGATGTATTTGAAGTTCTTAAGTCGTAAGGGTTTAAATGACATAATTTCATAAACATGATATTAAAAGGGGAGGGGAATGGTGTCATACATGAATTTCAACGATGCATAAACTTTTTACAATCCTACATCCTAACGTTGCATTGGAACATGCCACTATGCACGAGTGCGATGATAAAGAACGTTGATTCATACCTGTAGGAACAAATGTGCACATTTTTCCTTCAAAATCTTGGATCCATGATTATTCTCAAATTCTGATGGACATGCTTTAAAATATTTTCATTTCTACTCACCGACTGCAATATTCAGAGCAGCTTATATTGTACTGTAAGTTTCCCTTCTACGATTTTGTGTAAAATATAGTTTGCCGATCTGCTTTTCCGCCGACAGAATGCAACAAAAATAAAGGCACAGTAACGTTAAATCGTTTACGGGTGAAGAATTGTTTTCCGTTTTTAATAAAACTTGACAGATTTGATTAATTATTATCGGAAAATGTCCCTAATGGATAGTGATTCAAATTAAACCAGTTTTATTATGCTGTATGATATATGTAACTTAGTCATATTCTTTAAATTTTCTTCACATACACCGACGGAACATTTTCACTTCCGCATAATCATCATGATAATTTATCAAATATATTTCAAATATAAATTTGAAATTATGAATTCATAAACCATCATCTCCAATAATATATAAACTCTATTTTTAAACGAATGCTTCTGGTATGTAAAACAAGTTATAAAAGACTCTAAATAGACAGAATAAAAAAAATAAAAGATACCTTTAGGAAAGTCGAATGCACAAGTCAAACACGATCGCAAAATAATTAAATAAACAACACTGAACAACAATATATTTTTTTTAAATATAAAACATGTTTAATAATTACATACGAAAAAGTAAGAATCGAAATTGTTTTATTTTTTTAATTAAGTAGACATGGTAAACTATCAAAGTAACATAAACCGTCTTCTTTCTAATTTGTATTTTACTCTGGAAGGGGAGCAACCCCTGATACACACTGAGAAAGTTTCACTCGTTTTGTGTCCAAATTATTAAAATCTGAACACGACTGAACACGGTCTGACAACATCTTGACGTAATTTTGTATCCATGATCTGATTTCGACTGAATCAGTCGTAACGGATCTTAACAGCTCGCTAGAAGATTCAGTCTTGTTTATCTTGACATGCCTTAACGGACTGATTTACCTTATGCGACTATCGATCGGAACGGCGTCTGAAAAGTTCTTAAAAGTCTTGACGTTTTTCTCTAGCGGTAAATCCAGTCGATTAAGATATGATCAGACCAAAATGACCGTTTCAGACTGAAATCGTGCTACTAGTGTCATATAAAGGTAATTACAAATCATATAATGAAAATTGGCATGATAAGACGTTTTGGGCGGTCAATAAAACCACTTATATTACATTGATTGTTCTTGTCTGACAATTTATTTTCTTATATAGTACATGTTGGTCCAATTTCAAGCCAAGGGAAACATTTTGAATTGAAACAGGAAAAAACTACGAAAGATAGATTAAGAATTGATCGAAGATTGTAAAGACTTGATTTAGTATGGTTCAGAATTGGTGAAGTATGGTTCAGACTTAGTCGACAATGATTAAGACTTCGGTCGAGTAAGATTCCGATTTTAAAGAACAAGTGGAGTACAGGTTCAGATTACGGTCGAGATATATCGCGTGAAATGCAGACCAATCTACCTGATGATGTTAATTTTACCTGATACTATTTGTAATGCTTTTTGTTATTTAACATTTACTTTCTCAGGGTTATATCTCGTCGATATACCAGCTTTGATTAGTGTTTGGTATGACTATAAATTTTCTATTAACAAAGTTATTTGTTTTTTCAAAAGTATTTACTTTCTCGATTTAAACTGTATACCTGACAACAAAATTATTTTCATTTACCTGTGTAATTGGCGGCTTTTTGTTGATGGTTTTTGTTTTTCTTAAATTGTTTAACATCTCACAACGGTATACTACTGTTGCTTTTATTTATTCCCCCCTTATTTGATTGTTTTTGTATTTACATTGTATCATAGATCAAATTTATTCGTTCAGTGTATGTTCGCTTGTGTTAATATGTCTTTTTATTGTGTTCAGCCAACGTAATTGCTATGTTATAGTGTGTCTTTCTATGTCGTGATGTTACACTATTGTTTCAGATAAGGGTGAAGGTTGGTACCTATTAAAACGTTTTAACCCGCTGCAATTGTTTGCAACTGTCCTAAGTCGGGAATCTGATGTTCAGTAATTGTCGTTTGTTGATGTGGTTCATAAGTGTTTCTCGTTTCTTGTTATTTTTATATAGATTAGACTGTTGGTTTTCCCATTTGAATGGTTTTACACTAGTCATTTTTCGAGCCCTTTATAGCTTGCTGTTCGGTGTGAGCCAAGGCTTCGTATGTTGGTGGCCGTACTTTGACCTATAGTAGTTTACTTTTATAAATTGTGACTTGGATGAAGAGTTGTATCATTGGCACCTTAGTCAGAGTTAAGAAATACGCTACGGTAAGTTCTAGAGATCTTACAGACCTTAATTACGTCAGTTTTCAAAAAGATTCGACAAAAACTTTTTCTACGAACGTCCTGAATCCTATGCTTACGCCATGCTGTAGGATAAGATTCTCGGAAACTATTTTTTTTCTTTTCCCTCTTCTTTCGACCTATATTTTGTTTTTTTCTTTCTAACTAGAATATTTATTTTTAATAAGGCATGCCATTGTCTATCATTCAGCAAAGATATCACAAATTACTGCTTATACAAGGCATATATACAGACATATGTTTTATTTGGAAAAAAAGTTAAAGCTAGCAACAGACAGTTAGTAGTGTAGTGTCGCATTTAGTCATGGTGTATTTTTCCAATATGAAAGTTATTTTGCAAATAAATTTAGTTTTAGGCAGGTAAAGACTAGTTTAGCATTCAAAGTGGGTTTATAAAAACATCTAGATCATTGTTGCATGTTTTATGGGCTTTTTGTTGTTTGACTGTCCGTATTTTGATAGCCGGACCGGCCAAAGGTCCAGAAATTATTGTAATGTTCAAAATCACTTTTTTTTCACACGAACTTTTTGACGCAATTTTAGCAAAAATTAGAGACGACGGACATATGACTTGTATTTGATCTCTTGATAAATATATGTAAACAGTTTCAGAAAAGGTATCACTCTGGCGATTGCAATTCAACTTGTGGCCCAATTTTGTTGAAATATGTGTCATCTTTATCTCCCTTTTTGCAATATCTTATAGCTATTTAAAAAAGATTGTTGACATGGATACACCAAAAAGAAATTTGATAAAACAATTTAAGTACTAGAAAACAAAACTTTTGATTACATGCAAATGCACATATATATATATAACACAAACAGCAGGCCTAATTTTTAAGAAAGCAAGGAAAAGGTGATGGTAAATTTTATCAGGGTAAATTCCTAACTGTATATTGCTACCTTAAGCTCTAGTTTGTTGTAAAGGAACCGGGTTTGAATAGAAACTAATTGAATGAATGGAGAAAATGCGTTATTACCTGCCATTTTGGTTGAAACTCTATCTTTTTTTACCTGGTTACGGGGACTTCTCTAATATCTACTTTCGTTTCTATTTATAGTTCATATAAACTCCATATTGCAAAAATAAATTATCTTACAAAAGACTTTTTCTTTAGTTGAATAATATACAAGACATTTAATGTTTACACTTTCTAGATGGGAATATTTTAAAAATGATTTTGAAATCAATTACACACTAAACACTTGACTCAGTAAAGAAATAATAAAATTTCAATAATAGATTTACTTTGTCTGAATAAAACTCTTTATAACGAAATTATTGTAGTGATTTTCTTATTTCTTTACTTTAAATTTGTTAAAATGAATTTGCTTACAGTTCTTTATCGTAGGATATTTTCTTATTTCTAAAAGGTATTAAGCAACACTTTCGTTATTATTGTTTCTATATAAATTATCGTTTTTACACACAAAAATTCATCCGAATCCAACAAAAATGAACAACTAAAAAAATGAAACAAAGATTCCATGGTTATACCGATTTTCCTGAGTTAGTCCATTTGCAAATTATTTTTACAGTTTCTTCTGATTTCTGCTGCAACACCACTGTCCCAGGTTACGGAGGAGTTGTTGTGGTGGTTTTGGGGTGTGTTAAGCACTCAAAAACATGTTTAATACCGCCACATTCTTTACACGTATGTGCCTTTCACAAATTAGGATCCTGTTATTCGTTGGTCCCGTTGGTTCATGTCTGTCATTTATGATTTTTTTTTAAATTGTATTGTATAAATTAGGTTGAATATTTTTTCGTTTGATTGGTTCACATTTTCTTATCGGGGCATTTGATAGCCGACTATATGGTATGGTATTTTTACAATATAGAAGGCTGTACGTAGAGCTATAATTATTGTCTTTAAATTCGTCATTTGAACTCTGTGATATATGTGTTTCATTGGCAATTATACCCATCAAACACGAAACATTTTAAAATCATTTTTTTTTAATGTCATATGGACGTCTCTCCGAAAACATTGCAATAAGATAGCATTTGAACATAAAAAAAATGTTTATTTCATTGTTTTTGAAATGTTTGATAGCAACATTTAAGTAAAAAAAAAAATGCCAATATACTTTATTTACGTTCTTAAAATAATATTATTTTCAATTGGTATTTCATATTTTTACAACATTTAAAATAAATATTTTCCAAATACACATGTATCCAAAAAACATTTTTCAAGAAATGTTTTACAGAAAATATAGTTTTGCTATTTGCATAAGATGTTTTATAACGTAAAATTAAAATGTTTTACATTTAACATCTGAAAAATATCAGCTTAATGTGTTCAATAAAATATTTTGACAAACACTTTATTTAATAGTCTTACTGATATTTTATTCAATATTTTACGGATATAAAAATAACATTTTATTTAAACTTTGTTCAAAACCCCTCAACGTTTTGTGGAATTTGCTATTTTTTTTCAGTATAAGATATAATACTAAATTTTATCAATATTATCAAGGATTTGTAGATAGCAAGATATTATACAAATCCTTGATATCCTGAAGTCAGATTTTATTCCTTCTAATATTAAAATTCAAAAGAGAACATTAAATAAAGCAATTATGTATTAATAAACAATCACCTTTCTTTAATGTTCATTTTAAATATTTCGTTCGTGTATATTTTAGAAATTAAGAAATGATAACTGTAACTGTAATTCCATCTTCGTATCGTTATGCATTACGTAAAACCCACCTATTCCGGAATTGGTGCAAAAGTCGACTTTTTATCACCGGGAACCAGTTTCCGGAAATGAATTTGAAATTTGAAATTTGAATTAAAGAAAAAGAG